ACTTGTGTGTGTGTGTGTGTGTGTGTGTGTGTGTGTTACATTGTCTCCAGTCTTTATTTCATTCACACACATTCATTTATTTTGAGAAATTCAAAAATACTATGTAAATAGATATCTTATTGAGTCTTGTTATTCAGTGGACCTATCACACTGCTCTAAAGAAAATAAATTTGACCTGAATATACCACATAAATACAGTTTGTCCAGACAGAAAAAAAAAAAGTTTAACTAACACAAGTAAATCTTTAATTTTGAATGAAACTACATCCAATTAACTAAATCTATCTTTTAAAAACAATATATGAAACTTTCCAATTATCATTACTCCTACTTATGAATTTCTTATACAGTATTACAATGATAAATAACACTCAAATTTACCAGTAGTTATGCTTGGGTTACATTCTTCAACTCAAGTTCAATTTTCAAACATCTTTATGTTGTTTTTTTTTTTATTATAAGGTTTTCACTGATATTAAACTTGCTATATTCTATAGATAATCATCTTAACATTCAAAACTGTAAGCTATGATGCCAGTTTCAGACTTAAAAAGGATATGGAATATTTTCAGACAAAAGTTATAGTTCTCATATGACACTTCAGCCAGTAAGTTGAGCTTTAGTGCAACCACTTCACAACAGTTATGAAAATGACCAGTCATAATAGGCATAACTGCATGGCACAAAATCTCTTAAATAACAGTTTTATTGTATATTATAAAAAGACATATACTTAATATACTCACCAATATGAGCTGCATGTCTTCTTGTTACTAAACTCTTCTGCCTCACTGCTTCTTTGATCCTGTCTACTTCTGTCTGGTATCTAGATAGTTAACCAAGAAAAATTAAGATGCTTGAAAAGCACTGACTAGTATATGCTTCTTAACATAGACATTAATATGTCAGAGCTTAAAGTAAGTTAAAAAGTTATTTTGAACAAACTACATTGAGTGGTCACAAGTAAATAGACACCTAATTTTCCATCATTTAACTGATTTATGCTAACTAATTTGTGTTCTACAGAGCACTATATAAATGAAAATGGT